AATATTATTTCAGATTTTCCCAGGGTGATTTTACAACTCAAATATGTATATTGATTTTGCATCCCATCACAATGTTTTCTTCTTTCTCACTACAATTATAAATATATTCAAATAATGTGAATGGAAGTTTGTTTCACTCATAGGACCTAATTTAAACTTTGTTTGCCCCAGGAAAACACAGAGCAATGGAAAAAATCAGAGACCAAAATAATCCGGAACTCTAATTTAAACAGTTTACATTCCAGCAGTTACAATTTGTAAATTATTCAGACTTTATCTTGGGACTTTCCTTTTTTAACATCAGTATAATGGGGATTCCAGTAGAAAGTTATGGTAATCCATTAAAATAAAGCCACAAGGGACTAGGCATGGTTTCACTTTGAAGCCACAAGTCTCTGCTGAGAGCTGAAATTATGAATTATAGTTTCTATTCTTTATAGGTTATTTTTTTCTACACTAAATACAGCATTGGTAATGCTTTTGACTTGTACACACCAACATTTTTACCATGATTCCAGAATTGCAGCTCTAACTTATATTTGCGAGAGATATTTTCAGTGAATACCCTTAAAGTATACCTAAAGCCAATTTATTAATACAACTCTGGATTAGGGAATTGCCAGTCAATATTAGTGAGGGAAAATCTGCTCCGTTGTCATCAGAACAAGTGTTCCTATTGGAAGATCTTGTTCTGATGACAACTCAAAAGTTTGAATTTTCCCATTACTTTCAGTCCCACTGACAATGATCACCAGAACAAATTGAGAGAATAATTTTTCCCACTGTAGAAATAGAGAGCAATAGACATCTGGCCAGAGTTTTAAAAATGTATTTAAATTTTTGCAGCCAGATACCTGTCATAGATAGGTATCCTGATGAAGTCATATGACTGTGACATAACACATAGGGAGAGAATAGAGGCAGACGCGGACTGTAAGATATGTCATACAGAAGTGAACCCCTGGCACCTATGTGTATGATGCAATTTTAGTGTTTTAAATGTGTAAGTGCAATTCATTTTTTAAGAAGCTTTTTGGTATATTTCCCACTCCTGGTCAAGGCAAACACAGCTGCATGAATGGGCAAGAGCCTTAAAGGCAGCTCACCCTACATATGATTGGAGTCAATAGGAAATCCAGGTGGAGAGTCCCTAGTGGTATTGAGGTGTAGGAGGATTGGAACATTGCTGAAAGATGGATGGATTATGGTGTACATGCTATATCACATCTTCTTTAAGGTGAGAATTCTGTGCACACAGAGGTGGCACAAACTGTGTGAAGTGGAGTCTTGCAGTGGGAATTTATTCTGGTGAACTGATCACACCACAGGACTGACATTTATTAAGTCTATGACACTTTGACGTTTATGGACTAGGCACCTTCCTTTGGATAATATCACTGAATATTAACTGTATTGTTTTCACAGTTTTTTTGGTGTTATATACATTGTGTTTATATTTTGTGCATTGCATTGCAACGCATGCAGATTATTTATACACAAGTTGATGTTTAGAGGTACATTTATCTTAGCACGGTGTGTTTATATTGATTTATATTTAGCAGTGCAGCATAATATTTTTTCTTTATCCAGTTCAAGTGTGGGGGACACACATTGATGTCTGCAGCAGCAATAGTATATCACACTTTTAGTTATCTCACACATATTCACAGTTAGCGCAGCAGTCAATAACCACATATTTATTTTGGATTTCCCAAAAATGGTCATTCTCCTGTCTGACAACTGAATGGGGGCTTGGAATACAGCACTGTCTGCTAATTTGTTACATTTAACTGCAAATTGGAAATACACTTTAAGATTTACTAACTATTCCTATTCATGTTATAAACACCAAATGTAGGAATTCCCCTCACCTTTAAACGTGGTGACTAGAGATGAGCGAATCGAACATGGAATTCGTTTCGTTTCGAAGATCAGGAAAAATTCGATTCGCGCCGAATCCGAAAAATTATCAAACTTCGGATGCACGAATCGAATTTTCCCAAAAATGGCGGCGACATGTGTGGCGACGGAGCGGGGATCTCTGGGAAGGCGCGCAGACAAGGCGCGCTGACCCATAATGCATTCATTCATGACATGTGATCGCATTAGCCAATCAGCAGTCAGCCAGCCAGCCAGCACTGTGTAATGGCGGAGCTATAAATTGCGGCCATCTTAGAATTCTCCATTAGCCTCCGGTCATTCAAGAGAGACAGACCTCTGTGTATTAGGGACAGAGTTAGGGCCACAGAGACTTTTAGGGCCACAGAATCGTTACTCAGGGACACAGAATTGTTACTCAGGGACACAGAATCGTTACTCAGGGACACAGAATTGTTACTCTGGGACACAGAATTGTTACTCAGGGACAGACACAGAATTGTTACTCAGGGACACAGAATTGTTACTGAGGGACACAGAATCGTTACTCAGGGACACAGAATTGTTACTCAGGGACACAGAATTGTTACTCAGGGACAGACACAGAATTGTTACTCAGGGACAGACACAGAATTGTTACTCAGGGACACAGAATTGTTACTCAGGGACACAGAATTGTTACTGAGGGACACAGAATCGTTACTGAGGGACACAGAATTGTTACTCAGGGACACAGAATTGTTACTCAGGGACAGACACAGAATTGTTACTCAGGGACACAGAATTGTTACTCAGGGACACAGAATCGTTACTCAGGGACACAGAATTGTTACTCAGGGACACAGAATTGTTACTCAGGGACAGACACAGAATTGTTACTCAGGGACACAGAATCGTTACTCAGGGACACAGAATCGTTACTCAGGGACACAGAATTGTTACTCAGGGACACAGAATTGTTACTGAGGGACACAGAATCGTTACTCAGGGACACAGAATCGTTACTCAGGGACACAGAATCATTACTCAGGGACACAGAATTGTTACTCAGGGACACAGAATTGTTACTCAGGGACACAGAATCGTTACTGAGGGACACAGAATCGTTACTGAGGGACACAGAATCGTTACTCAGGGACACAGAATTGTTACTCAGGGACACAGAATCGTTACTGAGGGACACAGAATTGTTACTGAGGGACACAGAATCGTTACTCAGGGACACAGAATTGTTACTCAGGGACACAGAATTGTTACTCAGGGACACAGAATTGTTACTGAGGGACACAGAATCGTTACTGAGGGACACAGAATTGTTACTCAGGGACACAGAATTGTTACTCAGGGACACAGAATTGTTACTCAGGGACACAGAATCGTTGAATTAAAGAGTATGTCAGACAACACGCAGAGGAGTGGCAGAGGAGGCAATGTTTCAGGAGCGAGCAGATGTGGCAGCAGAGGAAGGGGTCGAGGCAGCACTAGTCGCAGCCAGAGGCCAGTGCTCCCGGTGTCATCCAGCGGTCGTGTCTCCACCGACAACCCTGCCATCATCGATTGGTTGACTCGGTCGTCTTCCTCTTCCCAGGTCACCTCTGACACCTACAGCCAACGGTCGATGGGTACGTCAGACACAACCGTTAGTTGGCATGGCCCGGGAGCAAGCCCACTGAAATCACGTGTCCTCTACCTGCCCCTGTCCTTTGGTGTTCCCTCACCAAGCGAAGTATCGCATGCTGTGGGCTCAGCCCCACTGTACAGTGAGGAAGAGCTAACAGAGGGCGGTCAGGAACGGGGGGAGACATCCGCCTCTTCAGCAGCCAGGCGAAGAAGTAGTGGCGAGGAGAGTGGCTCGGTAGCCGGTCTAGAGACAGGTCTGTCTCCTGACCCACACGCAGCGAGGGGGCTAGTAGTGAGGCGGAGACCCTAATTGATGATGATGAGGCTGATCGCACTTGGCAGCCTCGTCGTCATCTGCCAGGCCCGTAATCTGCCATGGGCCCCCGTACCGACTCCTCATGCTGCTGCCAGGCCCGTAATCTGTCATGGGCCCCTGTACCGCCTCCTCATGCTGCTGCCAGGTCCAGAGTGTGTCATGGGTCCCTGTACGGCCTCCCATTGCTGCTGTCTCCATTGCCACACTCTGCCATGTGCCACTTTCAGGTCTCCTCACACTGCTGGTGGGTTCCATTTTGTCATAGGGTGCTGGCAGATTACGGGCCTCCCATTGCTGCTGCCAGGCCCGTAATCTGCCATGGGCCCCCGTACCGACTCCTCATGCTGCTGCCAGGCCCGTAATCTGTCATGGGCCCCTGTACCGCCTCCTCATGCTGCTGCCAGGTCCAGAGTGTGTCATGGGTCCCTGTACGGCCTCCCATTGCTGCTGCCAGGCCCGTAATCTGCCATGGGCCCCCGTACCGACTCCTCATGCTGCTGCCAAGCCCGTAATCTGTCATGGGCCCCTGTACCGCCTCCTCATGCTGCTGCCAGGTCCAGAGTGTGTCATGGGTCCCTGTACGGCCTCCCATTGCTGCTGTCTCCATCGCCACACTCTGCCATGTGCCACTTTCAGGTCTCCTCACACTGCTGGTGGGTTCCATTTTGTCATAGGGTGCTGGCAGATTACGGGCCTCCCATTGCTGCTGCCAGGCCCGTAATCTGCCATGGGCCCCCGTACCGACTCCTCTTGCTGCTGCCAGGCCCGTAATCTGTCATGGGCCCCTGTACCGCCTCCTCATGCTGCTGCCAGGTCCAGAGTGTGTCATGGGTCCCTGTACGGCCTCCCAATGCTGCTGTCTCCATCGCCACACTCTGCCATGTGCCACTTTCAGGTCTCCTCACACTGCTGGTGGGTTCCATTTTGTCATAGGGTGCTGGCAGATTACGGGCCTCCCATTGCTGCTGCCAGGCCCATAATCTGCCATGGGCCCCCATACCGACTCCTCATGCTGCTGCCAGGCCCGTAATCTGTCATGGGCCCCTGTACCGCCTCCTCATGCTGCTGCCAGGTCCAGAGTGTGTCATGGGTCCCTGTACGGCCTCCCATTGCTGCTGCCAGGCCCGTAATCTGCCATGGGCCCCCGTACCGACTCCTCATGCTGCTGCCAGGCCCGTAATCTGTCATGGGCCCCTGTACCGCCTCCTCATGCTGCTGCCAGGTCCAGAGTGTGTCATGGGTCCCTGTACGGCCTCCCATTGCTGCTGTCTCCATCGCCATACTCTGCCATGTGCCACTTTCAGGTCTCCTCACACTGCTGGTGGGTTCCATTTTGTCATAGGGTGCTGGCAGATTACGGGCCTCGCATTGATGCTGCCAGGTCCGTAATCTGCCATGGGCCCCCGTACCGACTCCTCATGCTGCTGCCAGGCCCGTAATCTGTCATGGGCCCCTGTACCGCCTCCTCATGCTGCTGCCAGGTCCAGAGTGTGTCATGGGTCCCTGTACGGCCTCCCATTGCTGCTGTCTCCATCGCCATACTCTGCCATGTGCCACTTTCAGGTCTCCTCACACTGCTGGTGGGTTCCATTTTGTCATAGGGTGCTGGCAGATTACGGGCCTCCCATTGCTGCTGCCAGGCCCGTAATCTGCCATGGGCCCCCGTACCGACTCCTCATGCTGCTGCCAGGCCCGTAATCTGTCATGGGCCCCTGTACCGCCTCCTCATGCTGCTGCCAGGTCCAGAGTGTGTCATGGGTCCCTGTACGGCCTCCCATTGCTGCTGTCTCCATCGCCACACTCTGCCATGTGCCACTTTCAGGTCTCCTCACACTGCTGGTGAGTTCCATTTTGTCATAGGGTGCTGGCAGATTACGGGCCTCCATTGCTGCTGCCAGGCCCGTAATCTGCCATGGGCCCCCGTACCGACTCCTCATGCTGCTGCCAGGCCCGTAATCTGTCATGGGCCCCTGTACCGCCTCCTCGTGCTGCTGCCAGGTCCAGAGTGTGTCATGGGTCCCTGTACGGCCTCCCATTGCTGCTGCCAGGCCCGTAATCTGCCATGGGCCCCCGTACCGACTCCTCATGCTGCTGCCAGGCCCGTAATCTGTCATGGGCCCCTGTACCGCCTCCTCATGCTGCTGCCAGGTCCAGAGTGTGTCATGGGTCCCTGTACGGCATCCCATTGCTGCTGTCTCCATCGCCACACTCTGCCATGTGCCACTTTCAGGTCTCCTCACACTGCTGGTGGGTTCTATTTTGTCATAGGGTGCTGTATGGCCTCCCATTGCTGCTGCCAGGCCCGTAATCTGCCATGGGCCCCCCGTACCGACTCCTCATGCTGCTGCCAGGCCCGTAATCTGTCATGGGCCCCTGTACCGCCTCCTCATGCTGCTGCCAGGTTCAGAGTGTGTCATGGGTCCCTGTACGGCCTCCCATTGCTGCTGTCTCCATCGCCACACTCTGCCATGTGCCACTTTCAGGTCTCCTCACACTGCTGGTGGGTTCCATTTTTTCATAGGGTGCTGTATGGCCTCCCATTGCTGCTGCCTCCACCGCCACACTGTGGCTCCACACTCTGGTTTTGGCCCCGTGACTGCCCAAATGAGTGAAGTGTGCGGTGATTCTAAGATCGACGGCACTCATCTGCATGTCATACTGACTGACAGTATTATTTCTCTTCCCCAGCAGACTCCAAGGGCATTTAAATTAAAGGTACAGTGTTCTGCACTAATATAAAGGCTCTCTGAAGCCTAGAAACACCCTTTTTATATGTTAAATTCGCAGCGAATATATTCGACTCGAATCGAATTTATTCCGCGAATTCGCCGAATCAGCCGAATCGAATTTTTGAATAATTCGCTCATCTCTACTGGTGACAGTGACAACAGGGGCACTAACTGGAGAATCACTATAGTCCATGCACTCTTCTATCATACAAAGCCGCAAGAGGTATTGATGAAGGATTATTATTATATAGGATAGTGGTAACAGTTTTTGCAGTGCTTTGCAAAATTAAGGGAGACAATATAGTTACAAATGAATCTAATACATAAGATTTCAGATGGACCTGCTTGTGAGAGCTAAAAATGCAAAGGGGGGAAGCAAGTGATACAAAAGGTAATAACTGTGGGACAATGAGCTATAGGAAAAACTTGAGTAGAGGCGGGATAGGCTGCTCAAAAGAGATGATTTATCAAGGATTGCTTCAAAGCGGACAGAGTAGGAGATAGTCAAATGGACTGGGGTAGAGAGTAGAAAGGAAAGGCTCTAGAGAAATCCTGGAGACAAGCATAGGAGAAGGTGACAAGTGTAGCTAGAAAGAAAGAAGTCTTATGAGGGTCAAAGAGAATGGTTTGAATGATATTTTGAGATGAGGCTGATGATATAGCTGGGACAGAGTTGTGGGTGGTTTTGTATGCTGTGGTGGCTATTTTGAAATGTATGCATGAACGGTGAGCAGAAGGCAGTGGAGAGATTGGCAGAGAGGGTTGGTAAACATTGACCGGTTGGTTAGGTCATTGAGACAGGCATCAGTATTCATGATAGACTGAAGTGGGGATAGCCTGTGTAGAGGTAGACCAACATGGAGGGAGAGCTGCAATAGTTGAGGGAGGGAAAGAGTAAATTAGAGGTCTTTTGTTTTAATTTGTTAAGAAGGGGCAAATTTTGGAAATGTTGTGGAGAGGTAGGCAACAAGATTTGAACAGTAATTATATGTAAGGCCAAAATGAGAGGTTAGAGTCTAGGACTACACCAGGCACCCTGCTCTAAGAAAAGTGACCGATTTAAATGATATTGATATCAATTGGGAAGCTGCGGAAGAAGAGACATAGAGAAGGTAAAATTACTAGTCTAATTTTGAAAAAATTGAGTTTGAGGAAGTGGTGTGACATCCATGCAGATAATCAATTAATAAATTGGGGATGCAAGAGGAGACAGAAGGAGTGAGCTGAGAGAGATAGATTTGGGTATCATCAGCATAGATATTATAAACTATAGGAGGTTATCAACTATCCTAAGGAGGAGGAGTAGATAAAAATTAGAAGGGGCTTGAGGACAGAGTTTTGAGGGACCCTACAAAAAAAAAGAAAAGGAGAGGAGGAGATCAAGCTATAGGGGATACTGTAAGTGTGATGTGATAGGTTGTACAAGAACTGGGGAAGAGAGGAGTCTTGGAAGCCAAGAAAGTAGAGTTTTTTTTCAACCATATCAAAGGCAAAACAAGATCTCAGATAAGGAATACAAAGTAGTGGCCATTGGTTTTGGCAGTTAGTAAGTTGTTGGTGAGTTTTAGGAGGGCAGTTTCTGCAGAGATAAAAGCCAGATTGAAAGGGGTCTAGAAGGTTGCTACAATAACCTTGCTACAACTGTGGTGGTTCACACAATTGTAGCCAAGGTGTTCTAGAAGTTTGGAAGTAAAAGGGTGCAAGGAAATTGGCCTTTAAGATATTTCGGCAGGTGGGGCTCAGTAAGGGTTTTTCTAGTATGTGGGTGACAAGAGCATGTTTTGGATATATGGGGATAGTTTTTTGGTGAAAATTAATAAAAATGTAGCATGGATTCTAACCCTCCTCCGCATTATCCAAAACTTATTAACCTCCCTAACGGTATTCCCGGGTGTAGCTCGGGGTAAAATGTCTATACCAAAAGCGGTAACCCCGAGCTACACTCGGGCTTACCATGCGGTGCTGCATAGGGAGTCCCTGCAGCACTTACCTTGTCCTTCGCTCCCCCGCGATGTGTCCCCTGCAGCGTCCCCGACCATCTCCTCCGTCTGATGCCGGCATCCGGCTCCTGTGTTCCGGTCCCTGTCACGACGGGACGTACGGGCGCTGCCGCCGTAGGCGGCGGGAAATTTGAAAATTTTAAGAAAATATCATTTTTTTCAAAATGATTTTACATGGTAAAACATTGCTGTTTCAACCCATTTCACATACATTTTGTCCGTAGTGCTTTGTCCTGTCCCCTGTCTGCATTTTGATTGTTCTTTCTGCCTGGAAACTTAGAAAAGTCCATGGCGTCCAAAAAGTGTCCCTTTAGGTCAAAAGCGGGTTTAGATCAGCTAGAGAACAGCGATAGTAAATCAGAACTACTTGCAGAATTGAGTGATAGTGATTCGTGGAGAAATTTGTCATCAAACACTGAAAACGATTCTGCGACTTTGCTCAGTGATGTGCGAACTTGGCACTATATTTCAAATTTCAGTGTTTTTGGTTTGATTATATTATTGAATTAAATGTATGATTTAGAATCTTGTTCAGACAGATTTCAGTGAGTTATTCCTAAAAATTACAGCCTACAATAAAAAAAACTACATATTTCCATGCAAAATAATTGTACCGCTTTCAGCACCAAAAATATGAAATAATCATACCGCTAGGGAGGTTAATGAAAAATGTTATGGCTAGATTCACTTTACATTTGTATTGGGATTTTGCTAATTTACTAAAGGAAAAGAGTTTAACAAGTGAATGTTCACTTATATCAAACAAAAGTGCTGCACTATAAACAATAATACAAATATATCCACCTTGTACTAAAATACCAAATAGTGGAAATGATATCAAACAGTAGAAATAATATAATATAGTAACCAATATATGTTATCAACATTCATAAGTGACTACCACATTACAAATTTCCAGAAAAGGTAATAGTGAAATCAAGTCTACAATAAAAAATATGACTGCAAAAACAGTCCATATGGATGAAGATCCTTGAAGCAATGATGCAACACCAAAATCAAGGGCTTCCAAATTCAGTGTAAATAAACAAAATAAGTGCCCAGTGAAATGAGTGACTGCACACACAGTCCGTATGAACCACAGTCCTCAGTATAGTGAAGTGACATCCAAATGTGAGAAAAACATCTGTGAGATCCTTCACCAATATGCACTCACCAGAACTAAGATTAAATGAGCTTCAAAAATTATACTCCAAGACAATCTCCAATCTCCTCCTCTCAGGTCTGGTTCAGAACCATCAGTAACGTGCCCTGTGAAAAGAGCTCAACACACAGGGCCCAGATTGGAGGTACATAGTGTAGCAGTTTTTTTTAAACACGTATACATACCATCCATGTGAAAATAAAAACTGCGGCCGCACTTAAAAAGATGGCCACCAGACCAAACATGGACTTGGAGGCGTGACTTCAGCACATAGGTTCCTCCTTGACATGTTCCGTGCACATGCACATTCTCAAAGGGACGAGGAGGTGGGTCCCACCAGTTCCACCAGTTCAAAGTACCACAGTGCTGTGAAAAGGGTTAAATATCCTGTATCCTACCATAAATCCTGTATAATATCCACATAGATATCCACAAATCCACATAGAGGAGATAAAAAGAGCACCACAATAGTGTAACATTCTTCCAGTTTAATAGCACATAAAACAAGTATCACACTTACATTCATCTGTATCAGACCCAACAATAAGGAATACAGCACATAAACATGTTTCCGCTATGGCTACCACATTTAAATATATATCTTATTATGAATAATTCCTCAGCAGGGATTAGTTTTGGCTTAATGTAGGGTTCAAACCCAAACTTTGCATGTTTGACATTTGCAGACTGGGCAAACAATTTGCCCAGTTCACCTGCACAGAATATCCTGCTGCTTCTGCAGCAGGAAGTCATTCATTAATTGGTGGTATTACTATTCTCTGCAGTACGTCCTGTTGTTGGCAGAGACCCTTTTCCTTGTCATCATGGAGATAGTGTGCTTTGCCAGGG